GATGTAACGTATGTGTAATAAGAGATAAAGGCTGTTTGGAGGGAACGAAATAAAAAGTAAGATAGCGATAGAGGGAGGGAGGGAGGGAATAAAATCTGCCGATGCGTCGTCCTAGCATCGAAGTCTCCTATGGCAGCAATCATCGCCGCTTCGCTCACCACAAGCCAATGAACAGTTCCGACCCTCTTTTCCGCTTATTCCTCCCTTCTTCATTTTCCTCTTTCTCGACGATAATATTTTTCCCAATGATTCGCTAGCCCTTTCCTCCCCCTCGCCCCTTCGCCCCCCCCCTCTCACCCCACCTCACCCCACCTCCGCCAACCTTACGTTACGGCCTCGTTATTTAATTGTCGGATGAAAGTTGAAAGGCTTTTCCGTTAGGTTTCCAAATTACTTTTTAAAAAGCAGCGCAACGATTTTACAGTTAACGCAGGAGTTGCTATTGTTGTAACGCGAGTGAGAGTCGGATTTTTTATACATTTGGCTGTGGTGCCGTCGGGCTCGTTTCTCTCCCTCGCCCTCTCTATTTTTTTATTTTGTAGCGGCTGTCAAGGAGCGGCACTCAGGCCGATTAATATCCCGCGAATATTCGTGTTTTTTGCGAAGATCAAAGGCCGCGAGGAGGCTGCTTTTGCAAAACTATTTAGTTTAATAAAAAGAGGCCGAGGCGAGTGCGCGCCCGCGTCACTCGCCAGCCACCAAATCGTTCGTGGAAGTCGCGGTACCTCCCTCGCTTTCCTTCCGTCCCATCTTCGTCGGTAAAGGCACATAGTGCTCTCTGCTGCCTTGGCTGCGTAAATATTGTACTATATCTCCTCCGCCTCCCCGCCCCACCCACCCACACTCCTTCCGCTTTCCTCTCTGCCACTCGATCGCCCCGGCACGGCTTCTACGACCGAAAATTTCGCGAAATCCGGAGCGTTAATCGGGCGGCGTCGATGCTCCTGCGGCCGGCGAACCGTTATTTCGCCCTCGTAAATATAATAAAAAGCGAAAAGTCAAAGAATGGAGCAGACTCCTTATCTCGGGGAAACATTTGTCGCGAGAGCAAATTACTCCTCCGAGACACAGTGTACAATGAACTCGCTGGCAATCGTCATAACATAAAACTTTTAAAGACGACGCAGTAAAAGAGTCACTCACTCGCTCTCGGGGCCTTGCATTTTCGATTTTCAATTTTGCCGATTGTGAAACGAGGATTCGCGTTGCGGCTCGTTAAAACTCAAGGAGGCCTTGGGCGTACGACGAGAGCGAGACGGGAAAAGAAAGAGAGGAGCGAGAGGGAGCGTGAGAGAGAGAGAGAGAGAGAAATAGAGAGAGAGAGAGAGAGTGAGTGAGTGAGCGAGATGGAACAACGACGACGACGATCGACGATCTACGATGGACAGCTCGGATCGGCTCGCGAGCTGATTTCAGTGCCAAGTTACAAATCCTGTTGCACATAAGAGTCGAATGTTCTGTTGAATGAAATCGGTCAATGAACGCATAAATTTAAACAGCAAGCGTCAATTTTCCGAACGACGCGTCGCGAGCTAAAGCTTAACAATGCAGGAAAATCTAATCACTCATATATTTACTATGCCATTGCTCATTCTCTCTCTCCCTCTCTCTCTCCCTCCCTTTCTCTCTCTCTCTCCCTCTATCTCGCACGCTCTCATGCTCTCTTATGCTCATTCGCTCACCCCTCTTCTGATTATTCGTGTTTATTTTAAATTTCGTATCGGTTCCTTCTGCTCGCCCTCTGCTCCTCTTTTTTCGTTTTTGTCTTTTTCTTCGCATTTCCATGAGCGATACCTGATTATTCGAGAGTCACGCGCGCGAGATGTATCTTTTTTCCATTGTTCGGGCGCGTACATAAAGAAGTACACACGTACGGTGTTCGGCTGGTTTCTTTCTTTCCGTTTCGTAGTCGTTCTTTTTCCGCCTCCTTCTCCTCTGTTTTATTTATTTATTTATTTTTCTTCTTCTTCTTTTTTTTTTTTTCATTCGTTGAATCGGAACTCTAAAAAACGATTTCGAAGACCCGATATGTATATATATATATATATATATATATATATATATATATATATATAAAGGGAAAGGGAAAGGTAGTTAGGGGGCGATGGAGGGGTGGGGAAAGCGCAAAGTGAAAGAGATAGATAAATAGATAAAGAGGTAGACAGCGCGATTTCGGTGAAAAATTCAATGTCCACAATTCATCATCATTAAAAAATCGTGTAGAAATTAATCAGAATTTCATTCATATTTTTTTTTTCTTGTAAGGATTTATGTTCTATTTCTGACCCTGTCCGCTCCGTTCTCTCCTCTTTCAAAGGCTGCGGATTAGATTACCGATAGCATTACTGACGCGGTGCACCATTTCTCGAAAAAGGAAGCCCCGCTTAATCGATGTAAAACTACATGTCAACACGACCAACGAAGGGAGACAAAATGGTGGCACAAAAATCGAATCGATTACCGTATTGCCAGCGAAGGAAGGAAGGAAGTAAGGAATGAAGGAATGAAGGAAGGAAGGAAGGAAGGAAGGAACGAGCGCGCGCAAGTAAGACTTGGCAACTCGTGGCCGTTCATTTCGAATTTACCATCGCGTTCGCCTAACGAGCCTACGTACGAGCGCCGGAATAACATCGCGGATTTTTCACGACGACTGGAGTGGAGAACATCTGCCTGCCTCGGACGGACTCGGCTGGGCTTAACGGAAGGGAGAGCCCGGGCTTGGCGGCACCGCGCGCATGGAAATTGCACGGGGCGAGCGTTGCGGCGGCTCGCGGAGGAGAGGATCGGGAAAGGCCTCGGCTGCATCGCGCGCTACGACAAAGAATGAGAAAAGGGAGTCGCGCCGAGGGCCGCCGTTAAAGCGGAAAAGCGAGCGTCGAGAGAATGAGGATTTTTCCTCGATTGCGCTCCCATGAGAGTTTGCCTCGTTAGAAGTTCGTTACCGGGACAAAATATTTCCTCCTCTTTGCCCGCGTCGCCCGCCCCCGCACACCCCGGCCGCGCCTATTGTCCCTGGAATTTCGTCGAGAGGTTATCGTGAGGATATTGCCAGATAAAGAAAGTGCGACTGCGGCTGTGCATTTATTGTAGTTGTTGACGCGGCCACGACGATATTGGTTGCTGTTGCCGCTACTATTGCCCCGTCGCCGTAGCCGTCGCGGTCCTCGTCGCCGCAGCCTATATGCTCCGGACTTTAGCGGGACGCATAATCGCCTCGGCGTTTTATTTGCGTGAACGACGGGGCTTTTTCTGCGACAAGGTTCGCGCATTAAAAAAATCTTTATCGACGACTGCGTGTGTTCGAAAAACGAAAACGTGTTCGCGATTTATCATTGCTGACTCCTTCAAATGGACTCGATCCTCGAGGCCTTCATTAACATTCGCCGAGAGAAAAGGCTTTGATATCGCGGGGCTGCGACTTTTTTTTTCTCTTCTAATCATCGAATTTGCATACAAATTTTCGCTAAGGTTACGCTACGCTTGGCCAGGGCCGGGAGACTCCTCATGCCGATTTATCGACTTTAATGCCCTCGCTTCGTACACCTCCCCCTCCGCTCCTCTCCTCCCCCGCCAACCCCCTCCGCCCACCTTGATTAAGTATTTTAATGCGGAGGTGCGAATTTTGACGATAAAAAAACTGAATTCTTGCACTTGTCTCCAAAACCGTGTCATCGGCCTTCCTACTCGTAGCCATCCTAACGTAATATTAATGCACCGGTCCGAGACATTCATCCCTGCCGTTCCACGCCTTTTTTTTTTTTCACCTCTTTTCAATTTTCGTTTAACGAGTGCATCCTCGCTTTCGTTCGTGCTAATGAGCCAATCATTCCCTTGTAGATACTAATAATACGATAATGTGCCCTGCACGTCTAATTAATTAATTAGAGAATACAATTTCCTATTAATGACTAAAGAATTTTACGGATCTTTGTAGTTTCGGCGAATAGTGTGTGGCATTAATCGAGATGATCACTGAGGTTTTAATTTTCACAACTTTTGCATTATAGACGCTGACGTGATTTTTCGATATTCTGGCGCGTTCGGCAATGGTGAGAAAACTTGAAACTTTAGCGGAAAATTTTTCGTATTGAATGCATAGTCGATAAAACATTGGCAGAACCATGATTCGCGAGGCCGAATCATACGTAGTAACCTTACACACACTTTCCCACACTTTTTACACTTTCGTCCAAGCTTTCCGAATATACGCCATTATTATTACAAGTGGCAGGTGAATTTTTTCCATTGCACCTTCCTCCCGTTTTCAAGCTCAAAAATGCCACTACTAATATTGCCATTCCCTGCCCGATATTTGTTCGTTAGAGCATTTCAATGTGCGTAGGACGATGTTCCAGCGAGTATAAAACACTTTTTCTTTAAACCGCGAAATCGCGTGCTTCTAAAAATGAAGTTGGCGAGAAAGATGCATGAAAAGTGCTGTATTTTGTACTTTAAACATTCGACTTGATTGAACTTTGTGGAAAGGCGGTTGGAGCAGCAGAGCGCGCGCGCGGGGTTACGAACTCGTGGCAAAAGTCACTGTGAAATATGCGTTAAAAATCGGCGATCAGCGATTGTGAAAATCGGCGGGGAAAGAGGATTGAAGGACGGTGGGGCTGGAAAAATGTACAGGAATATAATCGGTGGCACTCAACACTTGTTGGCAACTCGTTTTCTTTCTCTCTCTCTCTCTCTCTATCTCTCTCTCTCTCTCTCTCACTCACTCTATCTATCTCTAATTATCTGTCTGTCTCTCTCTCTCTCTCTCTCGCTCTCTCTATATATATATATATATATGTATTTCTTTCATTTTTTTCATTTTTATTCATCATTTTTTTGTTTCTTTGACAATACGGATGTCTCGAGAGATCGTGGGGACAAAGTCGCGGGTCCCGAGAATCACTCCCGCGGTAAGCTATAGAACACTGTGAGGCTGGTCGGGACGCTCGTTTGGGATGCCGTCGGCCGCGTAACGCTCAATACACAAGTGCAGCACTTACATCGAGTTCGTCGTGTTCCAGTACATGCTGATGGTCTTGGCGCAGTTGCTCACGGTCGAGAGCAGCACCGTTTGTAGGCACACGAGGAACACGAGGGTGACTATGGAGGTGGACACCATGGTAGCTCCGGTCCTCGGCTGCGAGAGCCGTCGTCCGCCTCAGCTCCGTCTTCCAGCACCTGACACCACTATTCTCGCAACACAGCCACATCCACGACACCACGCTCGTATCGTCGATTACGGCGAGCGCGTATCTTCAATGAGCCGCGCACTTACGTCGTCCGCGAGGTGCTCGCGATGCTCATCCTCCCACAGGAGAGGCCAACTCTCGTCAATTCGTTATTTCAGCCCGCACTCCAATCCTCGGCCTTGGCGCACTCGCACAACTCCTCTTCGCGCACCGCACCTCCGTAACTTCCTCTTCCTCCTCCTCCTCCTCCTCCTCCTCCTCCTCCTCCTCCTCCTCCTCCTCCTCCTCCACCGACTTCACGCAGCTCTTTTCCTCTTCTCTCAAACAACCCAATAACTCAACAACTCAATAATAACTTCAACAACAATAACAACAACAACAATAATATTAATATTAATATTAATAATAACAACAACAACAACAACAAATACAACAACAACTATAACAATAACAATAAGCCGCGAGTGGTCACGAGGCACTGGCCACGGAGCCCATCGGGCCGTCGGTCCACACGGCGCCAACACCCGCGACGGCGAGAACTCGAGTTGCGCTCGGCGTCCGACGGGCCGCTGCAATCCGGCGCTCGGCTCCTGCCCGACTCGGGGCCTCCTTCTTTACGGGGGCCCTCAACTCCTGGGTACCGGACTGTAGGTCCTCGCTGCGTTCCTTACGCCCCTCATTCTCCGTCGTAGACCTCGACGACACAGCGCTCCTCTTAGTCGGGTGGGTGGGTGGGTGGGGGGCGATGATGAGGTAGGGGCGAGGGGTGGCGACTAGCCGTCACCGGCTCCCTCGATCTCTCGGTGCACAAAAGCTGCGAAGACGGGACACGGGACACGGGACACAGCACACGCGCAACGCACCTCTTTACAGCTCGGGATCGCGGACGCGTCTGGACGTGCGAGCGGTCGACTGAGCGACTCGCGTTCGGCGCTGCGCCGGCGAACGGCGAACGGCGGCGGCTACGGCGGCTACGGCGGCTACGGCGGCTACGGCGGCTACGGCGGTGGCGGCGGCGCAACTACGTCGGTGGCCACGCCCCAGCCAACGCGAATGACGAACGTCGTCGCATTATGCGTATGGTCAGGTCCCCGTGAAGGAACTTTTCTACTTTCAACGTCAAGCCACGCACGAGCGCGGACTCGGCGAGGACCACCGTCGGGGGTTCGACGAGCATCGGCCGCGGGACGACGATCAGTCGCCGAGTGACGTTGCGCCGTAGATTTTGCGTCTCGAGTCTACCGATCGCAGCATCGCTCGTGCCTATGGCACGTGGTGATTTTGGGGTTTGGTAAATGGGGCGAGGGAGCTGCTCGTGGCCTCGTTAGTCGCCATAAACGACGTGTCTTCTTGATGGGTTCGAACTGCGCGATTACGTTGACCTTCATGAATTTCCTTAGTGTTCGTGGAGTTTACAAGGCTATTGGATGGGCGAAGAAAATCGGCAGAGGGGAATTTACGTTAAAAACTCTTCTCTCTCCGTCTCCTTAAATATTTGTATTGTTTCTTGTCAGCCCCTTAATTTCACATTATTACAATTAACATATTTTACAATTTCACTTTCGAATCGTCCATTTACTTTTCGTATTCCATAATCGCGGTATTAATATTTATGTTAGTGTGCCGTGCGCGCTCATATTATTTATGGGACAGGATAAAAATAGGAGACGTAAAAATCTATAAAATTATATGGTTGATTACAATTTCAAAGTTATACTTCATTCGCCAATCGCGGGACTCTCTAATCCGATGATTTAGCTGGAAACTTAATTAGAAAAGGCAAGTGACGTCTTGCAGGTATCGGCCAATCGTTTCCACCTAAGAATGTCGAACTTGAAAAGCAGCTAAAGCAATAAAATATAAGCGCGCGATTTCGTTAGAATGTCACTCGTTCGCCGACGCTTAATTTATTCGACGCTTACTTCCAGGCTGGAGGATGCTGCTTCGTCGCTTTTGTACTGTTATTAGCGCGAGACAAGCAAATGGGATGAGGCAAAAAACAATTTTCACGAAATATTATCGGCTCGCAAGTATTTCTCGACCATCCTTTATAAAACTTACTTATAAATCGTCGACTTTGCGGCGCATGTTCATTTAAAAGCTTGTAGAGTGCAAATTCAAGGAGTTTCTGATTTTTCAGTGACAATACCCCACCCGGGTGATCCTCGATCGATGCATAAAGCCTAGCGATACGTACATCGCATCAAGGACTTTTGTATATTGCTTATTAATATATAAAATTCTTCTCTTTTTCCTTTATCCGTTGCAACAATGTATATATAATATTTTTGTCTTCGTGGTCAAAAATTCGGTATTTATGACGGTGATGTTGTGCCAATACAAGCTCAAAGGCTGCCTAGTGACATGTCTTTGCTAACGGACGGAACGACGAATGAGCAGACGGATAGACAGACAGATAGACAGACAGACGGACAGACGGACAGACAGACAGACAGACGGACGGTTAGAAGGAACTTTTGGGAGAAAAATGCTTTTTACCTTCTATTAAATGGCATGATTTATTTTTTAAAGACTATCCTTTATTTAAAAGTCTTATTTATTCGGCGCTGTACAATATTCGATTTATGATGACAAAAAAAGGAAGAGGATAAAAATCCTTTCAAATTAAAAAAAAAAAAAGAAAAAAAAAGCACTATAATTATTGTAAGAAATTAAAAAAATATTGTTAAGAGAAGTATATACAAAAGTCCTTTTTTCGCTCTCGGGATATAACCGAGCCAGCGTGTTTCGAGTTTTATAAGAATATCATGTTTGTATTATAATTTTGTAATGATCAAAGTGAAAAACAAATGTACTACATTATATTGTAATAGATATTAACATAAGGAAATAATCGAGTATCAGATTTGCAAATGTAATTATCGTCTGTATTACTTGATTTAATTGTTAGCAGTCATTGTTTAATTAGGCATGTCAACAGACTCTCATAGTACTTCTATGTTTCATTGTGTGAACAATCATTTCTGAGTAAACAATTTAATATCGTGCAAACAAGTTCTTTTTTTGTTCCGTTCTTTTTTGTTCTCCTTCATTTTAATACAAATACATTCAATTATCTTACAACAAAAGTGTATCTCACGCTCAAAAATCAAATAATATATGAGATAAATAAACGATGCATCACGCTGCTAAATAGTGGTGTTTTTACGCAAATTAAACCTGAGTGAAAAGAAAAAATTCGTAAACTGATCATTAAGTTGAGCCTATGTTTATAGCTTGTCGATTCCCATCGATCGATTATGAATAATTCGCAAGATTTTCTCGCTACTGTAATTGAGAGGGGAAAAATTGTTTACAATAATCCATGGCTAACGAGATAACGAAGAGTCTTCACTTAATCCGGGTATTTTTTCATTAGGTCCTTTGGTTAAATGCAGAAAGAATAGGTGAGAATGCCGGGGTATTAGGTAAAGTAGAAGAGCCGCGTCCTACGTATACAAAGTCAGTGTGGCACGAGTTCGGGGTGTCCGGGGATACATAGGCTTGGGTGTATAAACGACGGCAGTAGAATCGCAGAGCATCCAACCGATAACCGGGAAATCATAGCTTGTTCGGTGCCAAAGGGATGGTGGAAAAGTGTGGGACGGGGCTAGTGAAGGGCGGAGGTTAGGTAGTCTGATCGTCTGGAAGCGTTAGCCAGACAGGCACATTAATCTTGACTTCGGTTAACGTCTCGGGGTTGGAGAGCCACCCTGAGTGCTGTTTCCCTTGCATCTTCGCTTTTTGAGTTTCGTGATCCTTGCTTAAGGCGTTCTCTCTCTCTCTCTCTCTCTCTCTCCCTCTCTCTCTCTCTCGCTCTCTCGTTTTGTTTTGCCGATCAACCTCTTCCCGTTTCAAATTCGTCCAGAGGAAATTAAGGCGGTACGAACAGTAAGGGAAGCTTCTAGGAGCGTTAGCTTCATTCAGGGATAGTCTTCTCCCCCCCCCCCTCAACCATATTCGCGACAGAAGATGAGAGAGAGAGAGAAAAAAATTTCGGATAACTTTTTTTCGACACGGGGAGAGCTATGGACGCTCGAACTAAAGAGCAAGAGACAGTCATTTACAGACTATGGAAGGGGGTTAAAAAAACCTCCTTAGCCGAATAGACGCGAGTTTTATATGACACGTGATAAATCGAGCGGTAGCTTTATACAAGAATGTTTAGTAAAAGTGAAGGACGATGATAGGTGAAACGAGCATAAAGCTAATGGATGACTTGCGGAATAACGAAAAAAATTATACGACGCAATTTTCGATAGAAAACTTGTCCGGCGGATGCAAAAAATACTTATTATAATTCTCTTCTAATCCCCAAACGAACGTCCATTTCTCGATGCCAAAAGCTACCAGTCAGTCGGCTTTGTTCGTTGTTTTTTTGTTTTGTTTTTTTTTTTTTTCGTTTTGTTTTTTGCTTGGCTTCCTCTTTTTATCGCAACACCATACATACAAATAAACTGGCTGTGCAACAATTTTTACAATTAAACAGGGCCCCGTTCAAGAAAAGCAAATGCTCCCGTCGCTTTCTCAAAAAGACTCGACGCTACTACGGCGAGTCGGGCTCCCAATGCTCGGGAAAAGGATAGTGGTGAGACGATAGCGGCAGCTGCTGGCAGTACTCAGTCCTTGGATTTGCTGTGTCTAGAAGGTGGCGCCCCCAAGCGGATCGCTCCACTCGCTCCTCGAATCTCGGCTTCTTCGGGCAGCTCAGAGCGGCAATAGGCCGACGCAACGCTCATCCTCTCCCGTTCATTACCACGAGTTGAAGATTTTGTCCGATGCTCGGACAGAGAGAGAGAGAGAGTGCAGGGTCGTCGCTCGGGCCCTAAGCCTTTACAGTCGTCCATCCTATGACGAGGGCATTATTGTGTGTCCAGGATGCGGCCCGTGACTAATTTCATTTTGGCACTGCCAACGTTTCTTGTGATTCGGCCGTTGATGAACTTAGGCGGGGTGACGACGAGCTTGATAAATCAATAGCTCCGATGCTGCATCTTCGATAAGCGGTTGGATGATCCTCGCGCGACGCATCCGAGGAGTCCGTTTGATTTTATTAATCAACGAGTGGTAATCTGCTACTGCTTCTGCCGTTGCATTTATTATTAAATTTGAGTGTCGATAAGCGCTTGTTGATTTTGGTCAAACTCATTGGTATCGAGTTCGTAATACTCTCTTGTTTTCTTGTAAAAGGTACTTATCATATTGCTCCTTGTTATTGTTACG